GTTGTCATGTACAAAATTGTGAGGGGGGGGGGGTCCAAAAATCGTACATTAGGACGGACCCCTAGTTTGTGGTGCTAATAATTTCTTAACTATAAAATGGCAGTCCGTGTTGAGAACCTTGTAGAAATTATATCATGAAAAAAATTTCATAAAAACATTTTTCACTCTTTTCAATGAGGAGCTTATCATAATCGCTACACAACAGTATCAACCTCTTTTTATTCTTCGGTTTTCTAACTGAAAATGGGTAACTCTGCGACTTTTTCATCAATGAATAAGAGTAATAAAATGCCCGGGTTTACGTAGATAATCTATTTTGCAAAGCTTGAAAGTGAGTTTTGTGACACTATTTACGTTTATCGACGAATATATTTTTTTTTTGGTCGTAAAATGTAAGGTGAATATTATAACCCCGCCCCCTCATCTATTTGGGGGGTGGTTATACTGAAAAGATTTAAATTGCAATTTTGACATTTTTAAAAAAAAAATCTTCAAAATTTAGCTTTTTCTTCAAATACAGTTATTGTAAATATTTTTTGTTTCCAGGAAGCTTCAGCCAGAATAAAATTTCTTCAAGACGAATTAAATACTTTAAAGGAACATGAAAAAATGCTGGATCAACAAAAAACGGTAATTCATAATTTGATAAATTTACCTTTCTTCGTTTTAGTTTCTCACACGAGAACTGTTTTTATGTGTCTCTGTTATAAATGAAAATATAAAATCTTCTCTTATAATTTTAATTATTTTTTCTTTAATGTTGACCAAGACCTTTTTTAGCTTATTTTTAATAATATCCTAGGGATAGACATTTTCTTTAAATCTTTTTTCACCATGGAGTATATTATTAAAATTAAATAAAGCGTAATTTTCTTATGTTCCGCGTCAATATATATTGATTAACCAAGAAAATATATACCTCTGCCGTAATTTATACATTAAATATATAGTATATTTTTATTACAGTGGGCCCAGCAGAGCATAAAGAATATATTGGATGATATATCTAACTATCAACTAGCTTACATTACACATCAAGATATCTGTCAATGTTTCGAAGGCCAAACCTTGCTCGCGATTCAGGCGCCCAATGGGACCCAGCTTGAAGTTCCAATACCAGATAAACATGCAGGACATGCCAATAAATATCAGATACATCTCAAATCTGACAACGGACAGATCTACGTACTCCTTGTGAATAAAGACGCTGACTCCGACCCTGTTGTTGTCCAGGTTCCTCCCCCGGCGGATATTCACGAGGACCTGGAGGGGAGTAGAGAAGACTCGAGGTTTAACACAAGTGACACCGAACTATCAGAAGTGGAACCAACTCTACCACGGAATATCTTAAAACAGGAATTCCACCACGAGATTGATCTAGGGGAAGAAAGCTATAGTGACAGAGACAACAGTGTCGAGGGGGGTCTTCCTGTCAAACCGTTCCTTAGCTTCTCGAACTCGAAACGGAGCAATGATTTCGATATACCCAGCTCGAAGCGTAGTGTTGCACAGGATTTTACAATGCCAAATGTAGGATCGGAAATACCAGGACTAGACGAACTCATCTCATCAGAAAGTAAGTTATTATTTCAATGGTTTTCTTTTTATCCATTTTCACAATTATTTTAGATTTTTTAACTCTGTATTTTTCCCGGTTGAGCACAAAAGTACAGAAAAAATTCATAGGTTTATGTAAATAGAAAATTTTACGGTATTAAAGGCTAAAAATCCCCCGAAAGTTTTTCATATTATTTTGTTCAATTAAAATGACAAAAAAAACACACAATTTAAGGTTAAGACCTCGCTATAAAATTTGAATTTTAGATAATTGTGTTTCTTCATTTTTTAGCATTATTTGTTATTGCATAAAAATTAGCTATTTTGATAAATTTTTGTGGTCCAATTAGAGGATGTATGGAATTTTTATAAGTTATTGACAAGGAGAATTTTAAAAGTCATGACAAAAGTTTTTTGTCACTTTAAACTCAATTTTTTTATATTATTAGTTATTTTACAATTTTTAACTTTTACATAAAGCTGTAATAGACTTTTTTTTTGCATTATATAGACTCAGGGGGTAATATTAAAACAGATTAAAAATACCGAGTAAAGTTCTTTTTCCATAAATATATCTGTTTATCACCAGGAAAATTATGTTTTAAGGCTTTGCTTCATAAATACATTTTTAACTGTAAACAATAAAAAAATTTAAGAACTCTCGTTAAATATTTCATTTTAAGTTCGAATAAATTTATCTTATTTGTTTGAATTCAAAAATGTATCTAGAAATCTGTGATAAAATCAGAACTAATTTGATAGATACTTAAACTGCAAAATTTCATAGTTCAGATGAAGATTGAAAAAAACTGATTTAATTTTTAGTGTTCGGTCCCTTGCTGCGGCTGTCCCCGCCCCCCTCTGAGAAGGACTACTGCTTCAACCTCGACACCAGCGAGGGAGTCTGTGATCTGTTTGATGTATTATAACAAGACTAATATTGAAACTTGAATCAACAAAAATTGATTTTAGGTGCCATAGTTGAGATGTTAGTTTTTAAACAAAGTACTTAAAAAACAACAATTTTCGCGTTAGATGTGGAATGATTTATTTTCATAAAATGTTTTAATTTAATATTAAAAAGTCATTTCTATCATTGTTTTGATAAATCATTCCTGTCGCTTTTGTAATGAATTAAGTTTAAATTTTTAATATTTCAAATAACGATTTTTAAATCTACTCAATGGTTCGATTATTAACGGCTGGCATCAGAAAGATCTGCTTTTTAGAACCTTTGCAATGCTTTTCTTTTTTCTTTTTTATTCCAAGATTCTATTTCAAAGAATTAAAACATTTTAAAAGATTCTATCAGAATAGAAACCAAGTTGGTTGTTAAAAAATTACCAAAAATAAAATCATTTTCTGTCACTTTATGTCAATTATATTGACAAAGCAAGTTATATCTGTGTATGATTTAACTGAATGGTTTAATCTTATTTAATTTAACTGTACCTGAATGCGTAGCAAAATATATTTTTTGTTTTAATTCCTGTTTTTACTAATTTACAGAATTTTGTTCATATGAGGCTGAAGTTCAAAGATATAGTTTTTTAATTTGTTTCATAATATCTTAGATGAATAACAAAACAGATAGAACACTAGATGTCGTCTTTTCAAGATTTAGGGGTTTTTGTCCACAATAATCCTGAGGCAGTGGCCCAAAGAAGTTACGAGCATGCTCTTTCTCTATCTTGTAATTAAACGCTGCCTGCGCGGAACTCCTTTGGGCTTCTGCTTTAGGGTTATTGTGATCGAAAAGCCCTTAATTTTCAAAAAGACGACATCTAGTGTTTAATTTGTATTGTTATAATCTTTGCATAATATCTTTATTTTACCCAAGGAACTAAATACAGGAACACCCAACTCAGATGTACGCAAATTGTGTACTGTACAATGTACACTGCAGTGGGAGGAATGTAAACAACCCCAGTGCCACTGCCCTCACAGAAGTTGAAGGGAAAGGACTAAAGCTCTGGTGTGATATTACAGTCCAACAAAAAACATGTTAATACATCAAGTTAGTTCGAATACATACGATTTTTGGCTTTGTGGTCAAGATGGAAAAAATACACTAGCAATATATTCTTATTCCACCCCTTGGGCCCATTTACCTCCAAAATGATGCGTTGCCCCTGAATTCTTTGTTTTTATCTCCCACTGCAGTACACAGATTTGACGCATGGTATATGGCGGTTCCTGATCTATATATTTCTTGGTTTTACCAGACAATCGTAGTGCTCAGCACGTTCACACCTTTCTAACCCATTCGTTAACTGCTAACTAAAATCGCTCAAAAGACCAACTTTCCATATATACTTTCGTCATTAGATAGATTGGACTATTTTAAAATGCCAAAAATTAGATAAATTCCGGAGTATAACAGAGGGTTAATTTAGGCCCCCCCCCCCCCCGTGCAATGTATTTTAAGAATTATGTAAATTAGTTTAACTCGAAAGAAATTTGTAGGTTTCAAAAATTATAAGATAAGGCCGATAAATTGTTAAATTTTGATTGGATTTTTGGCCAATTAAGATTTTATTTTTGTAATTCTAGAAACAACTTAGGGTGTAGGAAATAGTAGAAAAAGCAGACCTAAAAGTGAATGGTTAGTTTCTCTACTTTTTTCTTTTGTCTTAAGCATTTCTTATTTATGTTCTCGCAACTTAAGTAATTAACTAGAGCAAAGAGAAATAATAAAATAACTGGGTCATATTTTATTTCTGAAAAAGTTAAAATCTTGCTTATTAAACAAAGGTAAAATAAATTTTTTGGTGAAATTTTAAATCAAGCCATCAACCAAAAAAGTAAAACGGTGTTAGGAAATCATTTCGTTTAATAGACTCATGCAATAGTGTTACTATCATTATCTAGCTATGAAAGGATTTTACGGAAAGTACGATATATGCGGAAATAAAATATATTGTTTAAGATGCTCGCAAAAAGGATAAATCTGTTAAAACAAATTTTAACAAAATTTTTGAAAAATCAAGAAAACTGCTTGTCCCCAATTATGCATTACAAAAATGTTCTGCTATTCAAAAATATTTTTGTAGGGTCCAAACTCCAAACTTAACGGAAAGTTGACCAAGCCTGTAGCTACAATATGGAGCTAAAATAGAAAACTTTTTTGTTCTCCAAAAAATCAAAGTTATTACATTTTCCATAATATTTTTTAAATGAGAGGCCTATTACTGTCCGTTAAGAATATGAGAAATTTGTAAAATAAAGCGTCTTAATTTTATCGTAACTATGCTTTTAGGACACTTAGAGCTCGTCTTTTATTTGTGGCTCTAACGGTAAGCATCTTCTTTTTTGTTTAATAAAAATAATTACAAAAAAGAAATATTTTCAAAAATTTTAAGCATCCATAAATCTTCCGTGGGGTCATGTGAAGAATCCCACAAAAAAGTTTGAGAAAGAAAGTGGCGCCGCCGCAGACAAAAGAAAATTTTTAATCTATTCATAAAAATCAACACGAAAGGACTAGAAGTAGAAATTGCCTGTTCTCTCTTCTTGCGCTCCTATTTTTTTCAGGGGGGCTCCCAGTTTTCCAGGAAGAGGGACGCCCCCCCCCCTAAACGGCCTCTGATTCCAATTATAAAAATGTTCATCCAATTTGTGCTCTTTACTTACCCTTTTTACGGCACATTAAATCTGGAGAACCTTTACAACTCATCCTTCCATAAACTGTAATTACTAATTACAAATTGTTCCTTCTGTTGAAACCTTTTACAATTCATTATCATTCCTTTCTACGTTGTTGTCAGCAGTTTAGTTTAAAAATAGACTTTTTTCTGAAGGAACGATTTTTGGAACAACATTTTTATAAACCGATAGTTTTTTACTGAATGAACAATTTGTTCAAATTTGTTCAAAAATTATCATCTTTTTAAAGGACCAAACGATTTTACTAAAAGAACAATTTTACTGAATTAGAAATAAGAAAACGAACGAAAATTTTGAGAACGAGCGAAGTTTTTTTAACGATTGAAAAAAATCGAAATGGGTCGTTCACGAACGATAAACGCACGAAATGAAAAAAGTCTAACGTGCCCATCTCTACTAACTGGAAATCATCAGAACAATTAAGTTAAGTGTTCTCCAAACGTTTTAGAGAAAACATCAATTAAAGGGACTGTAAAGGAAAAATGAAAGCAGGTATAGGATGAAACCTGAGAATCTCGGGCGTTAAGCGATTCATGTGAAACATCTATCTGCTGTTCCTGTCTAGATAAATTGACATAAAACTGTGTCAAATTTATACGAAAATTCAAATTTATGCAATTTTGTATAAATGTTGTTTTAGTATTAAACAGATCATATTCATCGAATACGCAACCAATCTGAAAACGACGATATCCCAGAGGAGCTTGAAAAAATCAGGTTTGCTCCTATTATTATCTGAATTTAATAACTTTTCATTTTTATTAGATATAATTGATAATATTATTTATACGTCTGGATCATGTCACCAGAACTTCAACCAATGGCAGTGCAGTATTATTGTCACATGTCTCTTTCTGTATCATGTGACCAGTATACTGCACTGCCATTGGCTGAAGTTCTAGTGACGTATACGAACTCTACGGATTATATGCAATAATATTATTAATTAAATCTATTAAAAACGCAGAATAAAAATGAAAAATTATAAAAGAAGCAAACCTGAGATTCTCCGGCTCCTGTGGGATATAATCGTTTTCAGACTGGTTGCGTATTTGTTGAATATGATCTGTTAAATACAACAACTATTATACAAAATTGCATGTATGAATTTTCGTATAAATTTGACAGTCCCTTAATTAGAGAGTAAAAAACGGAGCGATCAATATTCGACTGACGTCCTAACCAATTACCAACTCAGGCCTTCCTCTGTCCAGTCTGCAGGTGTATCCAGGGGTTTGGACATCATGGACATGCAGATGCCCCAACAAACTTTGATCAAAGTTGTGTGTTTGCTTGTTTATACTGGCTTAATATTACTAGTTCCTGGCATGCCAAACATCTACACCTTCATCATTAACTCTCTAGGGTTCATTATAACCATGTCCGCTTCTGTTCTTCTATTCAACTTCCTTAACACCAGGCCCCCAGCACAGAAAAACATTCTCAACAGAATCTTGGTTCTTCTAATCCTTATTCTATTTGCTCAAACCATCAGGAGCTTTCTCTTGTCATTCGTAGCCTGCTTCTGGAACTTTCACATTGGTAAGATTATTGAAAGCTATCCTACCCTGACTATTGCTGTCCTTTCATCCAGACTTTACCTTTTAGCTGCAGTGGTAGTAATTTTAACTCTTTCGTGTGGAAGACTTTTGCTGGTCACCAATCCAGTTGTGTTTCACAAAATACAACCATCCTCATGTGGTGCAATATTTGCTGGGGTGTTGGCAATCATGATCTGTGTTCTTGATATAACATTCATGGCTATAGCCTGCAATGAAAACACAAATACAAGGGCATTGTTTAGTTTTAAAATCGAAATGGGAATTGCGACCCAGTGTGACTTCAATACATTTCCAGTTGTTGACAACGCCAATACTACATTTTCAGGAGATGAAGTGGAGTTCTGTTGGACTTTCCCAACTCTTCTAACGTTTGTGATATGCTCCATCCTCCTGGAAGTAGTCAAAGTTCTCTTTGTTTTAGTTAAGGAGTACTTAAATATGAAAAAGAAAATGACAGTGAGACCGACTGAACTTGTCCAAGTTGTATCCGATCAAGTAGAGGCAATGAGAACAAATCCAGGTCCCAGTAGACAACGAGTGTTAAGTTGTTCGGAGTCATTTCCCTCCAGTTCTAGGACAAGGATGGTCTTGCATTTAAGACGGCGTTCTGTGGGGACTTTGGGAGCAGAACAAAAAACAGATCCTGAACAAGACATTGTGCAGAACTTCATGCAAAATCAAAATGCTCCCAAAATATACAAGCGTGAACTAAACCGAGCAGACGAGGCGGAGAATTTGATGCTTGCTAAAGAGGTGATCACCAAACAATGCATGAGAACAGCAAGCATTTTAACAGCCTTTACTGTAGCTGTAGCTAGCGTGATTCTTAGTCACGTGGGTGAACTCACAATGATCCGGTTAACTGCTTACAACTTGGTAGTTTGTTTTGTTCTTTTCGATAAAGATATTTTGTCTTATATATTTAGCCTTTTAGGCTTTTCATCATAAATTGTGAAACTGGGGATATCATATTTATTCGTTAAGCATTTGATGAAAAGCAAGACGTTTTTATTTAAATCTTTGTTAAACAATTTCAATTTTTACAGTGGTCAGAACTTAGGTGTGGAGTAGCGTTAATCTTGGATGATTGTTGATCTTGATATCCAATTTGGGCACTTATAAATTGAGAATAAATGCTTGATCAAAAGATTTACAATACACAAGTTCTGACTCCTGATAAAATGAAAACAATTCTTGAAAAATCCCAACAATAGTCGTAACAATGTGTGTAATTTGTCATGATATAATCTATGTATTTTGCTTACCTTTTATTGTATAATAAACAATGAGAGAAAAACAAATTCCAGAGAAAGAGGTGCTAAGTATTTCTCAATATAATGAAGACTAATTTCAATTTCTGGCAAGATATGGTAGTTGAGCTGAGAATGCAGTATGGTAGAGACACTTCTTAGGATTCATTTGAGACCTATGAGACGTTTTTATCGTGCATATTTGTTCAGCAAGAGCGCAAATTCAATCGTTAAAATTCTCATATATTTCATTTTGGAGGGATGATTTTGAAAATCGGTTTTTCAAATTATTCAAAATGTAACAATAAGTCTACAGGTAACTAATTAGAGGTTTTGTTAATAAAACAATGTTGGAAATAATTATTCCTTTTTCGTAATTATATTAAATTTATGAATTTGTTCGTTCAAATTCTTCAAATGTCGTCTTTCATTAATATTTCAGGAAAACCGTTTGTGAATAATAAGACATTACAAAAGCCAATAACTAAATTTCTTTTTTGATGATAAAGAGTTAATTTTTAATTTTTCAACCTGTTCCTAAACAACTGATTATTTTACTGTAGAATCGGTCCAGGGGTTCATGAGTTATGATGCGACAATCAAACAAACCGACAAACAGAGATTACAACTTCATATAGATTATAGATTAAGTGAATAAGCCAAATAAATTGGAATATGAAGTCAATTAGACTGTTAGGACTCAAGTCATGCCATGATTTTATTTAGTTCGAATTAACGAAAATAAAACAAAGCAATTGTGCAGTGTCCACAGACAACTTTGAGCTACTTTAAATTAAACCGATTAGTTATTTTGCTTCTATAATTATTTGCTTTTACGGTATCTAAAAAATAAAAATAAAATTTTAGACAAATTTGTAGCACGAATAGAAATAAAAGTGATAAATAAAATCTTTTATTTGATAAATCACACTTTAATAAATTATAAATGCATAAATAATTAAGAAATTATTACAATAGACGAAGCATTCTATAGAAGTCTAGCCCACAACTGTAAACATAAGGAAGTAAAAATCTATCAAAAATGTTGGCAGTAAATCAATTGACATCTTGACAAAATAAAAGATGGAGAAGCAACATAAAGTCACATCGAATAATTTAAATAATTCCGTTAATAATTTGAAGAAGGATGAGAAGTCTGCCACAAAGTCTATGTTTAGGCTTGTCTATAGTTCTTGTGAATGGTAGGCTTGATATCCACTACCAGCTGGATCAGAGAATCAATTACAGGATCCTAAAATATTTATTCAAACATTTAACATAGTGCGAAGTTTTTCCATTAAAAAACATGGAATTGACCAAATTTAAAACAATTTTTGAAGGAAGACTAAGTGAATTTTTTCAAAGGGACATTATAGGTAATTTCAAGTGACCCTCCATTAATTAAGTGGCATGTCTAATTCACAGCAGTTCCCTTAAAATGGTCATCCGAGACATTGTGTTTTAAAATTGTCATAGTTTTTCTGTCTAGAAAACTGTTTAATTCTAAAACTTTTCTCCACAATTTCTTGAGGAGAAATGTGCAAGTCATTTTTTAGAATAAAACACAATTGAAAATATTTAAATTTCAAAGGGAAAAACATGGATTTTTCATTAATTTTTGTTCAGGCAAATCTCTTAAAGAGTTATTCGGACACGTCACATCGGATTTTATAAACCTTTAAGGGAGTGTTCGTAAAAAATAAGAACGCGTAAACCTTTCTAATTGGCAAAATTTCTATATTTATTTTAATCAGGTAGCATTGCATTAAATTTGGCCCCGATCTAAAGATCAACCTATACCCCTTTTTTTGTCACGAACAATCCCTTGAACACGAAGAATTAATTATGCTAAAACCACTTTAATCACCTTATGAGTAGCAACACTTCTATTCATCGCTTCAATCTTAACCTTAGTATCCATCTCAATCTTGGCGGCAATGTCCTCCTTGGAACCAACATGTTTCGCCTCGTTGTTCTACAAACAGAAGCATTTGAAAACAGGGATGTATATTTTCTTGAAAAATCAATCATCCCCCTTTAAAAATCATTATTCCCACAGAAAATATGTATAATGCAGGATTTGGGCTAAAAAGTATCAAAATGGATAAAAACCTTGAATTTAGTTGTCGAATTTCCACCCCCCCCCCCTCCCCCGATCATGTAATTCTTAAAAATAAATAAAACTTAAAAAGTAGGTTTTATACCAAAAAAAACTGGGAACAAAATTTAAAGAATTTAATCTTTTAACCAAAGGCTTTGCAATTTCCTTTGAAACTCTCCGTCATACTTAGAAAATATCTTTTTCATGAGTACCTAGATATCATTTGGAATAAGCATGATCAATGTTTATTGCTCAATGTATGAAATTTTAAAAAATTTGTTAAAATGTACTGTAAAATGTCGCAAAGGATTTCATTTTAAAAACTGGTTCAAATTTCCTCATAAAAAAGAACATTAAAAAAATGACATTAATTCCCCAGTCTTCTGAAAACTATTATAATGGTGCACACGGAAGTATAAAAACACCAATAGTTGAATTTTCAGACTATTATAGAAAACGATTGCATCTTGTTCAACGTAAGATTTTCTTTAAAATTAAAAGCAATCTTTTGTAAACAAATGATTTATTTTTGGGAAAACAGGAGTTTATTTTTCCAGTATGTTTTACGTTTTTGTAGAAAAATTCTTTTTACAAAATCGTAAAAAACAGCCTAAAATTTGATTGGACAAAAAAGTTACTTCCACCAAACTTCAACACTCACTCCCTCGCGAATGGGGAGAGGGGGGCTGGATCTTGGAAATGTGTCCTCTTATATCACCTTGAACTCTAATTCCCTCTCTTGTTTATATTTCTCAATCTCCTGTTGAGCCTCCTCCTTAGCCTGCTTCAATCTCCTGTTCTTCCTCTTCCGAGCCTCACTCACCTTGTTAACAAAAACAAAATAAATTGTTTAAATATGAAACATTTACCTCAAAAATAAAGCTAATGGTAAATATCTTAGCTACGTAAACCTGTCCTCAATAAACAAATCTCAAGTGTTATAAACATTTAATTTAAAATTAAGCATGCAATTTTAGCAAAAGGAAATATTGGTTATTTACTAGAGAACGCTTTAAAGACTCTCCTCCCTAATAGGAACAGCGTTTGGCCCCAAGCCTTTCCTAGCCGCAGTACTCTGTCAAGTCCTAGCTTATGTCCTGACCGCAGCGCTCGGTCAAGTATTTGTCTTAACCGACCCTGACCCACAAATAACACAAAATTATTATTATTTTGTTAAAAATAGTAGAAATTCCACGGCGTACGAGAGCACTTGTGCAGAAAGTGGCGCAGCGCGTCAAAAACAAATTTTGTACCCCCCCCACCTTAAAAAACCCTTTTTTGAAAAAATATTGGTAATTTCCTAGAGACCGATTTCTGTAACTATGTAAACTATTCGATCATGTATAAACTTCCATATAACAAGTGTTAATAAATTATTTATGAATTTTCTTTAGTGGACTCATCCGACACTTCTCTTTATACTGTGGTGTAAGCTTCAGGTGAAAAATAACGATGGCAACGTTTCTAAAAAAATATCTATATTTTCATAGAAACTTATATTGTATAATTATAAATAATGATATCTAAAATATACTTACACTAAAAGCAGAATTTTAATGAAATTTTTTTGGTTAAAGGCAAAAGTGAGATTTATTTTTTATATTGGTGGCCCCCCCCCCCCCAATGGGTCGAAAAAATATCGA